CATCGCTATACGGTGCACTCATTAAGCGAGGCACCACTGTATATATTTTTTTCATTTATATACCACCCCATTAGTGCACTGCACTATTCTGGGCAGTTTACAGGTAGAACCAAAGTATATAATACACTATAAAATAAAATTATCATAAAACATGAGGGCAAATAAATTAACTTGCACTCAGATTCCCATTGGAGAAACAATACATTTAGTAATAATATATTCATACTGTATTTGAGCTATGGGACAAGTTCTTAGTTTTCAGTGCCCTGAAGCCATACCTGTCACTGTCCAGTAGATGGAGAAAATAGATAATTACAAGGAGCTCGGTATCCAGACCTAGACAGAACCGACATCTGTATGACTTATTTGAGATGGACTTAAGGCCAAATGATTGCAATGGGTGTGCTCTAATTATAATTAAGTCTGAGCTCAGCCCAGTTGTCACACAGCTGACTTTTGTTGTGGGCTGAGTGAATGCATTTCGGGCCTCATTTAGAGGTTGCTCTATGCACTTCATTCTCGTTATGTTAAAGTTGGAGTGGGTATTATAGGCAATACTGGCTAGGGCTCTTGGCCTGTTTTTCAGCAGCTCTTAGCATGTTCACCCCCATGTTATAGGAAGCTGTGGCTGGGAGCCAACTGAGAAAAGTGGCAGCATCAAAGCTGCCACTGGGGCTGGGTAGGTGGTGCACTGCCCAGCTGATGGGCAGTGAAGCCAGGCTGCTGCCTAGATTGCAGTGGATCTGGGCAGCTGCAAACACTAGCAGCTATTTATAATCACATGACTGTCACATGATTATAAATTGAATGAAATTACCTCAACGTATAGGGCAAGGTATGTCATCCATGTAATCAGGCTTACTGTTTCAGCACCAGGTTCGAGAAGCAGAGGGTCACATAATAGCTAAGACTTTTTTGGGTAACTATCCACATATATCAGTGTACATGGTGCTACAAAGATCATAAGTTGACTCATCGGGAGTCAAGAAGCTGGGAATGTAGGTGCCAGGCAAGCCTCATGGGGAAGTAGTTCATAAATTGAATGACACCACTGAAGAATCTCTTTTCCTTGTAGAAACTAGGGATGTGCACGGTGAAAACGTTCATATTTGTTTTGAGTCTGGTTCTGGTGTGTGTGCGTCCTTTTATTATGTTTGTGTTTTTTGGTGCCCCATTCTTGTTTAACATGAGAGGACTGCCTCTTTTTGCTTATTTTGTCTCATTCAGTCCATGAACATTTGCTCATCAGAATAGTCAGTTCTGGACTAGATGGTGCAGGGATAAGGCAGCTTCAGAATACATTCATATGATCCAGTGAACCAGACGACTTGATCTAATTCATTACTGGCCTCTTTATTGTTTCATTATTTTCTACATTCTTATAATCTCTAGTTTTGTTTTTTTAACCCACAGCAATCCCACAGAACCACTCAGAGGCAACATGGCAACACCTCCAGGCTGCAGCAACATATCTTCTGACTATTATTTCCTCTGTGACACCGAAGCTGCCTGGGGCATCATTCTGGAATCCTTTGCTACAGCTGGTGTGGTTACCGCATTCATCCTCACATTAGTGCTCCTTTTTCTTATCTGTAAAGTCCAAGATAACACAAAAAGAAGCCTGGTCCCTATTCAGTTCCTCTTCCTTCTGGGCACTCTAGGAATCTTTGGCCTCACTTTTGCCTTCATCATAAAGATGAACGAGGGAACTGGCCCCACCCGCTTTTTCCTTTTTGGAGTCCTCTTTGCCCTCTGCTTTGCCTGTCTTCTTGCCCATGCCTTTGACCTCGTCAAGCTAGTGAGAGGAAGACGCCCACTGTCTGCATGGATGTTGCTGGTTATCACCATCGGCTTGAGTACTGTGCAAATAATTATAGCCATACAATATGTAGCCATCAATATTGGAAACCTAAAAGGCCCCGAGATGGATGACAGAAGACGTAATGATTTTGTTTTGCTTCTGATCTACGTGCTTTTTCTGATGGCCTTGCTTTTTGTAGTTTCAATGTGTGTGTTCTGCGGGTCGTACAGAAGATGGAAGAGGCATGGTGTACACATATTCCTCACCATCTTGGTCTCCATAGGCATCTGGGTGGCATGGATCACTATGCTGATGAGAGGCAACACAGATTTAGAGAAACGACCACAGTGGGATGATCCTGTTATCAGTATTGCTCTGGTTGCAAATGGCTGGGCTTTCCTGATTTTGTACGCAATTCCTGAACTCTGTTTCCTCACCAGTCCACAAAAGCCTGGGGACTACCCTCCAGAGAATAGTTTCTGTCAGCCTAAAGTTTTGAAGAAAACCTATGGAGTAGAGAATGAAGCCTATGCTCCAGAAGACAACACACAAGGTATGAGAAAGCATTATGCTATCTGTAGCTGAGCTGTGGGATTGGCAAATGCTTTGTGTGAAGAAGAAAACGTGCCTTTGATGAGTTGAAAAATAATTGGGTCGTTTCAGGAACAGAACTGAACAGAGCAAAAGTAGCTTGAGGCTTTTCCCTAGGACAGCTTCCCATGCTCCCATTTGAGGTTGTGAAGTGCAAACAAGGACCACATATGAAGTACCGCTGGATGTCCTTGAGCCATAATTGGATGGCCAGCCTCCTGGTAGTTCCTGTTATGCTGGCCCATTGGTAGACATGATGAAAACAGGGGAAAGAAGCTGAAAAGCCACCGCTCATTTATTTGTTCATTTTTGCCATTCATCATTTGCCTGACAAGGGTAATCAGGCTTGATTAGAGGGTGAAATCAGAAAGCCAGATCAAAGTGTCATGGAAATCAAAGCAAAAAACTAACTGGAAATTAATTAATTACACTTATGTATGTGACAAATAACAATGGCTGAGATCCAGGTAATTAATTAATTATACTTACCCATAAGACAAATGACAATGACTGAGATCCTGTTGCTTAGCATTGTACTTGCAACTAGAGTAAGGTAAAGGTTCCCCTTGACATTTAGTCCAGTCGTGTCCAACTCTAGGGCGCGGTGCTCATCCCCGTTTCCAAGCCATAGAGCCAGCGTTTGTCCGAAGACAGTTTCCGTCGTCATGTGGCCAGTGCGACTAGACACAGAATGCCATTACCTTCCCACCGAGGTGGTACCTATTTATCTACTCACATTTTTACATGCTTTCGAACTGCTAGGTTGGCAGGAGCTGGGACAAGCGATGGAAGCTCACTCCGTCATATGGATTCAATCTTACAACTACTGGTCTTCTGACCTTGTAGCACAGGATTCTGTGGTTTAACCTGCAGCTAGAGTAGGCCCACTGAATTGACAGAACTTACAGAAGAGTTGACTCACCAAATCCCCACTGATTCAATGGGCCTACTCTAGTTGTGATATACTATACTAATTTCAGTTAGTATGTCTTTTTGATATAATAAAAACAGTTAGATGACTTAGAATTTTAGAAATAACCCCAAACTACTGTTTCTTCATAGAAAGAAGGGGCACCTCCTTCTTTAATATTTCTTTTTCATTCCCTGCTATACCATCACACAAACGTAGCATAGATAAATGAATATTTGGCCTCAAATCAAGTTTCTGCTAGCTCAAATTTGTTCACAATGATAAACAATGTATCCATTGAGTAATTAGGTACTGTTGTGTTTGGCTAATTTAGCAGTTCAACTTTGCAACTTTAAGGCAATTTCTTGCTCCAATGAACTTAATTTTTTAAATTATTGGTCCAATATGTAGATCATCCCAGAGTGACACAGTGATAGTTGAAGTTTTTTTTAGTGTGGAAAGATATATCAACAGTAGACCCATATTCTGAGCCTATATAATGTACCATATAGGTACAGAAGTAATGGCACATCTGAAAGTAGCTGCACAAAGTCATGGGAACATTCATTCAGGTCTTGGCAAAAATCCCAAGCCACAATTATTAGAAGTACTGAGGTGACTGTGCCTCAAATCCAGTAGTTAGAACAGATCCTCTAAATAAACTGCCGAATGCTAAATTGCTACTTACACAAGTCTCATTTGTTCAGTGGTTCTGTTCAGGTTAGGACTAGCAATTTGATTTTTAGGCCTGTGAGTTTTAATGGCATTAATTCCTTCTAGATTTCTTATAGGGATTATTTATGTAGAGATCCATGTAGAGAGACATTTTTGTGGTAGCTAGCATGTAATTGTATGCACGATTACATGGAAGTTCCTTTGTTTATTGGGGATTGATTCTTAATTATGCAAGTAAAAGATTGCGGTTGGTTATTTAGTAAATGTATCCACATCATGTAGTGAGGCAAGCATTATCAAGAACCTGAAATATGGAGCAGCGGAGATCTGTGATATTTGTTTTGTCATGACTGTCTAAACATGGATGCCAAAACCATATACTGTATTGGATATGAAAGTAGGCCACTGATTGTATATAACCAAATTGAGTCTTCTTTGCTTATGATATCAATCTACTGACTTTCTTTTCTTTTTCTTTCTTTTTTTAAGGAAGCAGAGATGGCTCATATGTGCCTTATTCAACTCACTTCCAACTGGAGGTAAACAAACTTTCATTTTAAAGTATTTGTTACAATGCAGCCTCTTTAACCAACTAGCTTAAAAGCAAATTCCAAAAATGTTTTGAATGACCAGACATCAAAGGGGAGCCATACAGAACTTAGGCAAGATTACATTGGCTTAAGGCTTTGTCAGATATTGCGTGCTCTAGCAGAGGGGGTAGAGTTCCTCATCACCGTCTCCAAGTTCATCCTTGTTTACTGGAAATTAGCATAGATTCCAGGATACAGTACTGAGACTTACCAGGATTCAGTTCTACAAACTGAACCTTAAAGATCACTTCTCCATTCCTCTCTTCTCCATATAATAAAACTTCCTCTCCACTAAAAAAAACCCAACCCCCTAAAAAAATCCTCTGAAATCCTTTAAAAATATTTTATTTTATTTAAAAAACACACACAACCTACCAGTGCCTACCAGAGCTTACCTTAGGGAGCTTGGGACTTTCCTTCTGGAACTTCTCCCCTCTTCTCTTCAGAGAACATCTTGAACTCTATTTTTTTTAAAAAAAAAAAACTAAAAAACACACACCACAGTTCCTACTGGGGCTTCTGCTCTGTAGCTGTTTGTCTGTGTACAAAATACAGTCAATCCTTTTCAGCAGAGAAGCTGTCATAGCACTAAACTCTGCCCCCCAAGAAGAAAGAACGAAATCACACCTTCCAGGAGGGGCAAAAAAAGGAGCATGTAGTCTTGAAACTTCTTACTCTTTCTCACTGTTTGAAACAAGACATATCTTGCATTATCTGGATGGTGGGAAAAATACAAATACCATAGGCACATAAGTAGGTACTTTCTCTGGAAGAACTCAGAGAAAGCTAGACTGCTTTTGATAAAAGTGATAAAGGCAGCAGGTGCTCACTTTGTATGTGAAAAGCCAAGTGTTACTCTGTGTAAAAGAAACATTGTGAGACAGGTTAACAGGCTTTAACCAAATATGAGATGTAGATCCCTCCCTACCACATGGTTTAAGATTTAGACCACTGCACCAAGTATTCTCACGTGAGCACTTCTGGAATGAAAGGTGACATTTTGTGGGCAGTGTATATTCCCTAAGTGCCATTTCACCGGGCTTTCCACAGCCCCAGTTTCTACAGCTGCGATTTCCTGACTATGCCTAGAAAAGTAGCCAATCAGAAAATTTATAGAAAGTATCTTCTTGACATCACTGCTGATAATACTGAGGGCAAATCGAGTGAAGCTGGAGGGAAATCAGGGCTAATTTGCTCTTAGATGTTTGAAAGTGTGTTTGGTCATAGGGGCAACTACACCAGCAAATAATACTTTAAAGGAATAGCCCCAGGACTGAGATGGTCAGATTCATAGCATTTTCTGTAGACAATGTGATGTACAAGTCAATATGAATCAGCCCAATCCAATTATTTTTTCATTCACCCTGGGGCTTCTACTTTTCTTCTTGTGAATACATCTGTGTTGGCTCAGGCAGTGTGATTGCTTGTGCCAATGCATATAGTTTCAGATCATTCTTTGGAGGAGTCCATAGTTCTTCTCTTTCAAGCCATTCCACCTACACCATCAGTGAGGCAGAGCAGCAGACCTGTTCAGATGGAAAGCCAGGTATCACTTGAATCCTCTCCTCCCCTAACTTGGTACATAGGGTCTTCCTGTTTTCTTCTTCTCTTCTTTTCCCATTCCATTTTTAAAAGAAAAAGGAAAAAAAGAGCTAGGTGTTAGCATAGAGTGAGGAAGAAATTGCTAATCAGTATTTCTTTGAAGCTTGTTAAAGTAGCTGTGCTGTAGCCATGCCTCCTGCAGATCTGGATGGCCACAGCAGAGCTACATTAACAAGCTCCAAGCAAGGCTGATTGCCAATTTCTCTCTCCCTCTCTCTCTCTGCTGTTTCCTCTTTCCTAAAGTGAATTCACTTGGGGAAACCTGACTTCCTGGGTGCAACTTCATAGCAAATCTATTTGCATTTTTTCCTGTTAATTGCACCCTAAAACAGGCAAAAGAGGGGAGAGGGATACAATAATCCATTGTGCTGAAGCTTCAAATGAGGAGCATGTAGTAGGAGAGGAGGGGTGGGGAATGATTACACTGCAAACATTTTCACTACCATTTTGCAGCACCAATGAAAAATCTAGATATATTTAATCTTAAAACATCATAATTATAATTTCTTTCCTTTTCAGAAGCTTGAGCCTCAACAGGATTTCTCCATTCCACGGCCCAAACCCCGGCCCAGCCCATACCAAGGGTATTCTGGAGGCGTCCATTAAAAACCTCTACAAAGAACACAAGAGAAGCAATACCAGGTTGGCTGAGGTGCTGTGGAACCATGCTGGATATACCAATGCTTCTGTTTTAGGAAATCAGGGACACAGCTCAGCAGTGCAGTGGATGAAGGAGAATTAATTTTTCCTCCTGATTGCCTTTTTGTTCATCTCTGAATAAGTGACACTTTATCCTTCTTCATTCATCATATCCCTTCATTCAATGAATCTCCATTGTCCTTTTCAGATATATCCCCTCAAACAATTACAGTTGCCCTGGCCCCACATAGGCTCTCAGGTTCATTAGAATGATGATCATCCTAGATTTTTAGTCATGTAGAAGAATACTGTGCATCTAGCTAGACCAAGATGGAGGATAGAGAGCCAGTTGGTGCAGCCACATGTTCTCCCTCATGTGATTGCAGTTGCATAGGAGGTAATTGCCCAAATGGGGCTGATGGCTTCTTTCCATTCCATGAGACTCCTTTATTTTTAGCAATTTGTCCTACCTTATTTTTCTTCATGATGTGATGGAAATTAGGAACAAATACCTAGTTCAGTCCCAAAACTTCTTAAACAGAATGAGACTTCTCGGTGATTACTCTGTTTTTGCCTAGGCCACATCTCTGAATCATCTATGTTCACGTATGTTATTTCCCCCTCCTTTTCTTTCTGAAGCATTGGAATTAGTGACAATATTCAGTGCTCCCAAGTAATTCTGGGAATTGTAGTTCCTAGAAAGTAGTAGTTCGGAGCTCTGCATTCCTTGGCTGTTCTGGTAAACTACTATCTGGAGCAATTCTGACCCAGTTTTAGACGCACACCCTCTCTCTACATAAGCTGTGGTTAGGAAGCCATGAAGAGTTTCTGATAGGTTCTAATTTAAGTGCTTGGTTGATACTAAAGTCATTGTAACAAGTCCAAACTCATCTTAGGCATCTCCTCAGCATTTTCATATCCTGAGTCCTTGAAAAGTCTTACAATGACTTCTTTCTATCTGTGGGTGGCTATCTGTGAATTGTCATAGTAACTGAACCAGAATACCTCTTTCATTGAAGTATACAGATAAGTCATCAGGCAATCCGAACTGTCTTACTAGCACTAGATGACCATCCTTGATTTCATCAGACTGAAGGCCTTTCTTTAGTCATCTTTCCCCCAAACAACACTCAGTACTAAGACTGTTACATACGGACCATGACAGAGAAAGACATCCTCTGTTCATCCCTGCTGTCTAGCAACCAGAAGCATATATATGGAGACTCTATTTTTAGTCATCATACCATTGTGGGATTGATGTGTACAATTTCCTTTAAAATCACTCACATTAGTGGGATGGGGATCCACCCTATGTACCCTCCTTTACATGTGGAAACTCCCAGATCCTGTCCTTGGTATCTCATTGATAAAAGGATTCAGGTACCAGCAGCTGATGGAGAAGCCCCTTTTGCCAAAACCTGAGGCCCTGGCATGGGCCCTTCTGATGTCATGGGGTGGAGTAGGCAAGGTTTGGCTGCCAGCAGAACATGCATATAAACATCTTTGCACTGAGCCATTGAGCCAGCTGCAAATGGGTGGAAATGTGTGCCCAGGCTTCAAAAACACTTCACACCCAGAAATGAGCTCTGAAATTCTTCTCTGCCCCCTCCCCCCCCACGACACCTGGAGAAGCACAGCAATTGCATAAGCCTCAGATGGTGACCTGCCTGACAGCCTTAGTGAGGAACATGTATGAGATCAAGAGAGGTGTTGGTGAAACAAAGGAGCACACTAAATGCCGATCCTCACAGGCATTCTCTTTACTGATTTATGAATCTCCATCACAGGCACAATTCAGATCCTTGTCGCCAGCATGTGTTGCCTGTGGATGCGATCCTTGGCTCTCTGTTGTGTCAACATCTCAGTATGAGATCCCTATCCTGCCATGTATGTGTAATACACAAAGATAAACATTAAATGATCCATATGCAAGCGTGCCATGTTAACAGCCAACAGTGAATTATTGGTGGAAAACATGAAATGAAATGGAGTGAAACTTGTAATATACCATATTAAACTCTAACGAGGCATAGACGTTATGGGGCTTTGATTTGTCATTAACACTTTAGCTTGGGAGTCTGGAATGAATAATGCAGAGATGTGGGGAAAAGAAAAGAAACTGAGGAAGTGAAGATGGGAGTGAGATCTAAACTGCTAAGGCAGCAATCCTGTACCTATACACCCCAGAGTACGTTGCACTGAACTCAGTGGGAGTTTAAGTAAAGTGTGGCAGAGAAAGAAAAACAGGCAGTAAAAAACGTATTTTTATTGCAACCCCTTTCAGAAAATCACTTCAGATTCTAGTGAAAAAGTTGTAAAGCTAGCTCAGGAAAAAAAGCACAATCCAACCAAATTCAGCCTCCTTTATATCCTATTGCTTTTAGTGGAAGAGTTAGGCCTGTGATTTATCTTTGTCTCACTGAAATCAACTGAAAGTTCAAATGCTGGATTTTGCCCTTAAGTCTGTGAGATGGGAGTGTTAAAGTTTTTGCTTGTGTGCTTGTAACTACCTATATTATAATATTTATTTGTTTATTTTGCATAATACATTAAGCATGTGGTTAAATAAATAATTATATATATTGTGTGTTGATAGTTTTTTCTTTTATTAATGCTTTTTAAAATGAAAGATACTCATTCTGCACTCTGAATATGGAGCATAACAAGCTTTCTATATTTAAGGTTATAATCGGCCATATCTGAAGCACTATCTTCCACAGAGTATCACCCTGCTAAAATCCTTTCAAAATTTTCCTTCAGCTCTCTTTATTTCAGTGCCCATCAATATACATACCATACAAGTATCAACTTAGCAAAGCACCTCCAGCACATTTGAGTCCTGTATATGTTTCAGGTGTGTGGTATGTGCGTTCATAAAGGCATCCATATGTGGGTGATTAGAAATTCTAAAATTATGCAGAGAAAATAGCATACTGACTGGAGGCAAATAAGGAACTGTTTTGAGAGACGCCGGGATCAGATTTGAACAAAAAGATACAGAAAATAAACAAGAGCGAAAAACAATAGAACAAGGAAGTGGAATAGAACAGATAAAAAGATAGGTTGCCTGGAAGAGCATATATAAAAAGGAGAAAAAAAATAAAGCAAAGAAATGCACTTATTGACTGTGACACTGAATGCACAAAAGAAGCCAATGTCAACCTGATGTCATACTTCAGCTTGACTTCATTTTTTTCAGACATTGCTATATCATCCTACCACCACCACTCCTGCAGTGCTCTACTGCACGAACAACCCCTATTTCCGAAAGCAGATCTCTTCTATGAATGCTTCTATACCTTAAAAACCCAATTTTTAACCCATTCTGATCTTTTAGTCATTTTTTTTTCCTTTATACTTTGCAATGATGAAAAAGGGAGCTAATGTCTCTCATTCCAGCTTTTCACCATTACTATAAAGTTGCTGTTACATCTTAGCAAGACCTTAGCTATATTGATGGCAAATTCTGGGAGATATAGTCCAAAATACTAAGATTTCCATGTTCCCCCTGTTATATTTCCATTGTGGATGTTTAAGTTGCCACCTTTGGAAAATGAGGCTCTTGCCTCTGAACAGCCCTATAGTGCCCAATTTCTGACTGATTTATGGAGAATTTTTTTACTAGGTGGTTCCTTCCACCTCCACCTAGCAATCCCCATGCAATCAAATGAAGCGATAAATATGTTTCTTCCTCCTGCTTTGTTTGAGGTTAAAGGAAAACAACAGATCCTTGTTATCAAGTCTACGAATATATTTCCTTCAGAGTTTCCTCCCACCACTTGAAAGAAACATTCCATAAATTGGCTTATTTGACTGAAACAGTTTTGGCTCTATTAAGGAGCAATATGATATAAGCAGGATTAAGTCAGTAATCTTAAATACACTTGGCAGGAAAGACATCTTTTGGAACAGGTTTACTTTTGAGTAAATCCAGTTTAGCCAACAAAGCTAGAGGTATGCAAGTGTTAGTTGTTTGCAGATCATACAACAGCTTCACTGTTGGCTATGATATAGAGCTATATATCAATATACCCTTCAGGACAGTCTTTCATGTTTTGCTTTGAGTATGCACCATTGCTTTTTTTCTTCCTTCTGCTTCTCCCTTTCAAGGCCCCCCCAATATTTTGCCCTCCATGTGATCTTTCCTGCTTCAAATCTCACCTCCCATGCCCATGTCTTTGTGTGTGACTGTGTCGTCCTCTCTTCCCCATGCAATGTTTTGAAGTCACCCTGCTTCTTTCCCCACCCTGTAAGTCAACATGTTGCTATGAATGATCAAAAGTTTCGAAGGAAACTGGTGTTTGCTTTCCTCTTTACTGTGGTGATTAACACACAGTCCTGCCCCTCCCATTTTAAAGCACTTGGGCGTGACGGATGCGGAAAAAGGGCTGCTGGTTTTTTCAGCATTTTCCACCCAGCACAAAATATTGGGCTAAGTCCCAGTGTTGGGTAACAGCAGTGAACAAATCCAGCTGCTATAGGTTCAAATCTCAAGGAATCAGAAATACTTTAGGCTGAAATCTCAGATGTATGGATTTCGTTCAGATCTCTCTGACAGGATTACATTGCAACAACACTCAGTTATAGTTAGGAAACTCTAAGGGTGGGCAAGCACTGTGCAGCAAAAAAATGCTAGTGGGTATACCACTCTTTTATCAATAATTATACGCAGAATATGGTTGCATATCATGTTTCCCCGAAAATAGGTAAAGGTAAAGGTTCCCCTTGACATTTTTAGTTCAGTCGTGTCCAACTCCTGTTTTCAAGCTGTAGAGCCAGCACTTGTCCGAAGACAGTTTCTGTTGCCACGTGGCCAGCGTGACGAGGAAACGCTGTTTTACCTTCCCACTGTAGTGGTACCTATTTATCTACTCGCATTTGCATGCTTTCGAACTGCTAGGTTGGCAGGAGCTGGGACAAAGCAATGGGAGCTCACTCCGTCGCATGGATTTGATCTTACGACTGCTGGTCTTCTGACCCTGCAGCACAGGCTTCTGCGGTTTAGTCCACAGCGCCACCCTGTCCCCGAATATAAGAGTCTTACCGGTATATTAATTTTTGCTCCAGAAAACGCTTTAGGGCTTATTTTCAGGAGATATTTTATTTTATAGTCCTGTCCTCTTTTTCTGGTTGCTGCACAAGGGTGGAGGGTGGGTTTTCATTTAACCGGGGCTTATTTTTGGGTTAGGGCTTATATTATGAGTATCCTGAAAAATCATACTAGGGCTTATTTTCAGGTTAAGTCTTATTTTTGGGGAAACAGGGTAGTAACAATAACATTTATAATGACAAGATAGATGTGTGGTTTATTCAACATATAATGAGATAAAATTGAATGATGGGTCAACTCAGTGTCCCTTGTTTGTTCTCCCCAAACTCTCAGGTCCATCCTCTGAATGCATATACTCTTTTTACACTTCCACCAGTGGATCTAGTCCACACTATACCAAATATATGTATCTCAGATGTGTGCTGCCAATACAAAAGGTTTATTGAATTTTTAGTTTGTAAATCACAGATGTAAATCATAGATGTGCTTTTATTATTGATTAAGATCTCTCATTAAAGTACTTGGGTTTGATTACACGTTTGTGTCCATATACGTATTCACAATATCCACTTCAACAATACTCTTTGACTATCTATCTATTCACTATTCCTTCTAACTCTTTCCTATTCTCTTTAACACTCCACCTTTCCAATCTCTGTCTTAACTTTTTCAATTCAATCTCCTGTTCCCCTTTCTCTTTAGCTGTCTAACTGTCACTCTATGCCCCTCCTGTCCTATCATAGGCTCCTGCACATGAGCTCCATATGATGGACAGGAGTGACGTGGGCATTCTGCCACACTGGGTAACTCGGTAGTGGACCACACATGCGGTGGTCAAATCAGTAGTTTAGTTATATTAGGCCCTAGACTTTATAGTCTTGTGCCATGGCTCTCTTTAGATGACAAATGTGTACCACTCCTGTTGCTACAAAGTGTGGCGTATCAGCCCTACTGTGTTTGTGGGCCCTCTTGCTCAGTCCCATTACTGGAACCTTGGCCATCTCCTGAGCTTCCTACTTTCATGGCATCTCTGGGCACATTTTAAGGGGGAAGCCACATCTCCAGCCAGGGCTTCAGAAAATACTGCTGTTGTTACTTGCTGTTAAGTGGCTTCCAACTTGCACCTGAAGGGACACTTCAAGGATAGCCAAGCACTGGACATATATTTATTTTTGACCCCGGTGAGCATTTTACAGCATGCAATAACAGGCAAATTTGCATAAGGCAACTATTGTTTGATAGTGAAGCAGGGTGGTGCTTTCCAACATGTGAATCACTGCTTTTCAGCCTGTGACCACTGAAATGAAAGGATGTACTGTGATATGTGACTATTCAGGGTGTCCTTTCTTTCTATAAATAGAAGCTGTCAGGTCACAAATTTTAAAAGCTTGTTGGTTTTGTTTTGAAAGAAACAAAAAGTTAGGTGGAGTGGATTAGTGTTCCAGACAACTGATGGGTGGAATGCAAATACTTATGGTTGGGCAATGTTGGGCAGTACTTTATTATTTCCTGTCAAGTCAGTTCCAACTTATGACTGCCCTCCCAAAACGTTCTAGATAGAAAGTATTCAGAAGAAGTTTACCATCCCTTCCTTCTGAGGGCACCCAGTGACAATGCAGACTGCCCATAGCTGTACAGACTGGACCGTCTCCTGAGGCACAGTGGGGATTCCCACTTCCAAACAGGTGGTCCAACCCACTGGGCTGTCCAGCCAGCTACAAGTGGGCAGTACTGTCACATATCTATATTTAATCTTTTATCTTCTTTTTAGTATGAGAATTATGGATGACAGCACCATAGTACATAGAAGAAAAAAGAAGAAGAGGAAATCTTAGACATACTGTATCTCAGAATAATAGAATTATAACATTGGAGAGGATCCCAAGAGCCAGTTATTCCAGCCCCTGTTCATGTAGGAAATCCATAGCTCTAGCTTCCTTGACCATGGTCTGTCCCATGGCTATAGTCAGAAGGTTCTTCACAATGTTTACTCAACATCTCTTTTCTTGCTTCTGGTCTCACCCTCTTGGTTCACACCCTGTTTTTTTTGGAGATGCAGAAGAGAAGCTTGTGGCTTGCACCATCTTCCATGCCCTTTGGGCATTTGAAAATGCCTACTGTATTTCCTCTCAGTCATCTCTTTACCAGGCTAAACCCACCTGTTATCAAAGCCATGTTATCCTACCAGAGCTCTTCCTTAGTGCAAAGAGAAGCCACAGGGATACACAGATATTTACTGGCTTTGCCCATGGTTTAGTCTAAAACCCCTACCTATGATGCCTCAAAC